CAGCTTTTATGGATACACCTTTATTCCAGTATTCCCTGCCTGCTATCTTAATGGTGAATTTATTTTTAAATCTATATCTCGTAGCAGTTTCATCGACAGGTTTCCCCATCACAATATCGGCTTTTCGCTCCTCGATTAGCTTTTTGTTGTCAGTACCATGCATCTGGCTTAGTTATCGCTAACTATGGATTAATTTGTGCATCACTGATCTGGCTTCACCCTGTTTAAAGATATTAAGTGGTGGTAGATATAGCAGGACTTCCAACGATGCAGTAGGAGTTGTTTTTATGGCCTTCGTAATACACAGGCATGCTAGCCTTTGTGTATTATCTAGCAGCTTGATTGATCCCACTTGCTGCGTCTTTGTCCACCACGTCACCAAGCCGTAGGTTATCATGGATCTACTAACCCTTGTATATAACCAGAGTTATACATCAGAGTATAACCAGAGAGTCATTTTGGAGTCAAGCCAATTCTTTCCGCACATTCTTCTACATTTGCCCAGCGACATAGTAGCTTTCTCTGTGGTTTTTAAAATGTGAATATTCCATGTAAGCCTATGATCAAAATATAGCCCAAGGTATTTTGTTTCTGTGGCAAATTAAATTTCTGTTCTTCCCAGCACCGGTAGTTTTAGGCCTTGCATTGCTGTTTTTTGGGTGAAGCTGACGATTTGTGTTTTCTGAGCATTGACTATCAGCCTCTCTTGTTTACACCAGTCGTCAACTATATTTAGGGCTACTTGTATTCTCTCGGACACCACCTGAACAAACCTGTCCCTGACAACGATTGCTATATCATCAGCATATCTTAGACAATATAATCCTTCTGTCGACAAATTTTTAAAATCATCTACCAAGGTTGTAAAAGTAGAGAAGACAGAACTCCTCCTTGTGGACTACCTCAATCTACTTTTGCTTTAATGGTTGCTTTAGCCAGAATGTACATTAATATCCTATTCTCCAGGAATGCCCTTATCCATCTGCAAATATACACAAATTAGCCCACATTACTTCTTTGCAAAAGATCTTATTCTATTAGAATTTTTTACGATTGAATTTGTAAGAAATTATTAACTTTCACTAAATGCTAGTAATCTTCGCAACTAATATGCAAAATTCGTTAAAATCCTGTTTAATTCTGATTCATTTCATTAAGTACCTACTTTTCCCACACATCCGACTATCAGAACTCTTTGAACAGTAATATAAATCATTACAATTTTACATTTGTCAATAATTCTCTAAGGTAATTGCATTGTCTTATAGTTGGCTATCTTTAATAACTGCAATTTCTTATTTCTCACGCTATGAATTATAACAAAGGTCAATTATTATTATTAATTTTACGTCTTGAATTATAAGTATGTTTATTTTGCAATAACAGGGACTGTAATTATTTGTTTTTGTTAAAAGTTATGTCAAGACAATTATGTATATAGTTAAAGCCCAATATAAATAAAATATAAATTCTAACTAAAATAAAGACAATATATTGTTAGTTTTTTTTTTACTTTTTTACTTAGAATTTTTATATTAAGTAAAAGATATTTACTTAATATAAAATATTGATGGTTATGATTTACCGTTTATGTGAAATAATTTCATGCTGTTAACTATAATTTTAACACATTTATGTAAAAAATTTCAAATCGGTATAATGCTACGTATAACAGGTTGCCTACCTTGACATGTAATTTATCTTATGTAGGTAAACGTAATTTTTAAGCTGTCTAAAATTACGTGCCTATAGACAAATAATAGAGAGATATTGCATAGTCACTTTTGCACTTGCTGTATTACAGCATGCGTTATTTTGACAGTGGAGCATGCGCAGATGTGATATTTGGCTTACGCTGCGTTATCGAAAATAGGGAGTTTTTGTAACTACCTAACGTAACGTATCTCCCTATACGTAAAGAACTTACGTATCGAAGAAAATGAAGGTTAAAGTTGAGAGTTTTTTGAGAGTTTTTGTTCTGCACGTAACGTAACGATGGTGTTGCCCTCATCGAATTAGTGATAAACTAATAAGTTGACAGCGTCAGCAGTCTCAGTCTTGTCCTTGTCACTTATCGCTAAACAAATATTTTTTTGAAAAATTTTTAATTTTGGAGATGGACGCAATATTAAATGTAGGTGTCTTTATTGATGATGAAGAAGACGAAGACTTAGAAGATGCGCTTCTTCTCCACATCTTGCACGATGAAGAGCAATTAGGAAATAGAGCAATTCTATATGGCCGCTTCAGTTTAGATAACATGTCTGATATAGAATGTAAAAATCTTTTTCGCTTTGCCAAAAATGATATACCGAGACTTGCTAGGGCTCTTGATTTACCAGATATTTTACAAATTGAAAATGTCACGTCTGTATCAGGTAATATTGTTCTGAAGCTATTTTCTTGTGGCATTGTAAATTAATTACTATTTATAACTGGGAATAAGCCACAATTAAAGATAAAAAATACGTTTATTGACGTTTCAATTTCCAATTCGGAAATCGTTCTCAAAATACAAACAGTAAATTTACTGTTTGTATTTTGAGAACGATTTCCGAATTGGAAATTGAAACGTCAATAAACGTATTTTTTATCTTTAATTGTGGCTTATTCCCAGTTATAAATAGTAATTAATGTATCAGGTAAGTTTCACAGCTGCAGTCTACACAATTTTTTAAGTTTGATGAGTCAAATCAGTGCAATTTGTTTTAGGAATCGATGGATTATGTATTCTGTTGCGACGATTTACGTACCCTAATAGACTTTCAGATCTAGAGCCTCTTTTTGGATTTTCTGGATCTATTTTATCACAAGTGTGTACATACACTTTAAACATAATTGCAGAAAATAAAGGTCACATACTAGTGGATTTAGGGAATGTTCCACATTTAAACTATGAAAAATTAAGTGAATATTCTCATGTTAGTATAAAATCGTTCTTGTAAACAATGGAAGTTTTTAATGTAATTAACTTTTAGGCTATAAGAAACATGGGATGTCTACTTGATAATTGTTGGGGGTTTATAGATGGTACAGTCAGACCAATTTGCAGACCTAGCATTAACCAACAACTCTATTACTCTGGACATAAAAGGCTCCATTGCCTTAAGTTTCAATCAGTCCTCTGTCCAGATGGAATTATTATTAGTTTAAAAGGTGCTTTTGAAGGCCGGCGGCATGACTCAGGTATCCTTAGAGAATCTGGATTATATGAAGAATTGGAGCAAAATGTCACATTTCCAAACCATAGGTTTTATTTGTATGGAGATCAGGCATATGGTTTGAGAGAGTTATTACTCAGACCTTATACTGAACATGAAATTAGAGGAAATCAACAGAGGCAGCAGTTTAACACAGCCATGAGGGGGCTTCGTGTAGCAGTAGAATGGGGTTTTGGTAAAGTGATACAGAACTTTGCATTTCTAGATTTTAAGAAAAACCAGAAAATTCTCCTTCAAGAAATAGGGAAGATGTATAGTATAGGAGTGCTGTTAACAAATTGTCACACATGTCTTTATGGTGGAGAAATACCATCATATTTTGGCATAGATCCTCCATCATAAGAAGAGTATTTGGGTGCAAATAATTAAAGTATGTATTTTTTAATAATCAAACAAAATATTTTTTATAAATTAAAACCATATTTATTTAAAATTGCCTCAATTTTTTTGGTTACTAAACAAATCTAGCTACACTTGCATCTTTTTTCTCCATCCCCATTCCTCAATTGAAATTGTTACTCCTGTAACATTTTTTCCTCACTTGAAGTGCCAATTATGAGAAGTGACAACTAGTGATCACTAGTTCATAAAGACCACAGTAATGTTCAATATTTCTAAAGTAGAAAAAAACATTGTGGAAAATATGTTACTTATGACAACGCTCAAAATCAAAGAAATGAAAGAAAAATTATCAAAAATTGAAAATCAACTAAGACATAAAAGAACTAGCTGTGGAAAATATGGATTCACAAGATAAAAATAGTATGAGTAAACAGCCAAAAATCAGAAGTATTTGAAATGAAGAAAGTTGTAAGACAGGGAGATCCTCTGTAACATAGTATTGGAAAATGTACTAAGAGATTGTAAAATTCACAGAGAATGAACAATATACCATTTAAGATATCAGTGCTTGACATATGTTGACAATTTGGCTATAGCAGGTAAATAGGTAATGGTTTAACTCACAAATACCATGAAGAGATATTTATGGTTTAGAAATAAATGAAGAAAAACCTACATTGTGACGAGAAATGTCAAAAAAGCAGTAGAGAACCTTAAAATTAGTAGCAGTGCTGAACAAAAAAATCTACAAATTTAAGAACAAAGATAATTTCATTTATTTAGGAGTGAACAAAAATATAGAAAGAAGAGAAATCAATGACAGAATTAAAATCCAAGATACTATCAAGAAAAATAAAAGAAAGGCTCTACAGAACTGTCATGAGACCACCCGTGCTTTTTATTAGTGCAAATTGTTGACACTAAATAAGAAATGGTAATGTCAGAAGTATCAGAAAAAAAAATGTTACTCAAAGAATAAGAAAGCTGGGGCATGTAAAAAGACTTTCTAAATAAATAGCAACAAAACAACCTCTGAGAAGAGACCAAATAAAAAAAAAATGTATGAAAGAAAAGGCCTAGAAGAAAATGGATAGATGCAATAGAAGACAATTTAAGATAGGACACTGGAAAGGAAATAGGAAACATTTATAGTATAGGAATGTCATTAACAAATTGTCAGAAATACCATCACATTTTGACATATATTCATCATAGGAAGAATATTTGGGTGTAAATAATTAAAGTAATAAATATTTTTATATGATTTTTTTATTAATTAACAAAATATTTTTTATAAATTAAAACTAGATTTATTTAGTACTGCCTCTAGTAATTTTTGTTGGTTACTAAATAAATCTAGTTGAACTTTCATTTTTTGCTCCTCCATTTCAACACGTTTCTCCCTTTCCCATTTTTCTAATTTAAATTGTTGTTCTTTTAAACTTGTTTCCCTCTCTTGGAGTGCCAGTTCCCTACTCCGGATTTCATACCAGCGATCATTTTTTTTTGTAGATATTCGATGGTTGATTGTTTTAAACCAACATTTCGTCTTCGTATGGGAGCTACAAATAAATGATAAATTTACTTAAATAATTTCAATGAATTAAAAATAACATACTTAAAATGCTCCTTTTTTTCCCTGGTGTATCTTCAACTTTCAGTATCCGACTTGGTCCTGGCTCCTCATTATTTTTTGGACCCTCACTCTCTATTATTTCTTCATTAACTGTAATATAAAAAATGTTTAAAATAACTGTGTAATTTATAGACAGTCTCTAACTTACCATCAATTGTAGATGTGTCATCAAATATATTTATTAATGCATTTTCCCTTATGGCTATACCCTCTTGGTGGCTGTTTGCTTGACTTTTACCCTTGACAGAGGGTAAAAATGCAAATTCTCTTGACATCCCAATTACATGATTTAATAGGTCATCCATTTCAGAAACTTCTTCTTCAACTCCTGATCTAAAAAAATAGGAAAAATTCAGTGCTTGTATTTAATTTTGTTTATTTAAATGTTTATACAAGAGTACTGTGACGTCTTTTTATTGCTCTAATTTATTTGTCTTTATTCTAATTTATTGTCTATATTCTAATTTATTAAAACTCACGATAACTAATTACGAATTTATTAAAGTCTTTATTAATTCTAATTTATATTACAAATGTATTTATTTCACGTTTCGTTACATTTAAATATCGCGTTTACCGATCTTCTTATGACTGCCTGCCAAATAAAAATCTTTCATTTATATACACAACTGTGTCATCTAGAGAATTCGGCGGACTTCTTGAATAGTTTCGTATTTTGGTGAAGGCGCTCGACTCGTTTTTCAACCTCGAGACGTGGATGACTCACTAAAATTAGTGTCTAGAGATTTCTGGTAAACAACTGGTAGCTAAGCTCAGGTATATTTTGACCTACAAATTACGAGAATCAATAAAAAAGAATTAGTCATAAAATATTTACAGTTCTATATGCCATAACATTTAAAATCGTAACATTGCCCCCCTCTTAAAAGATGGTTCCTCCTGGAACCTTGTCGGGACTGGAACTGGAACGACATGCTGATATCGGCAACTGGACCCTCTTTTACAACTTCCAGTTGTATAGAAATGACAAGGGACGGTTTTCTCTCCGCAGCAGTAACTATGCGGATTGCAACAGACTAACACCTGGACTTCGGTGTCTTTAAAGATTTCCTCCACCATGTTTCGTATAACCCTCCAATCTAATTGGCGGCACTCCAACTTTGGCATGGCTAACTTTTGCACGTCGGACTCTAGTACGTGCTCTCTCAACTGAAGTAAGGCTTCCCATACATCTCGGTAGGTAGGTTGGTCACGGGCAGTGTCTTTTGTTACCAGGTAGAAAAGGTAACGTGATGCATCTTGAAGTTTCAAGGTTTTACCAGGAGCTGGCACTTGGCATTGAAGTTCTGCAACTCGACCAAACTTCCTTCGAAAGACGGATGCCAACCCTGGTGCATCTTTGATACTGGCCGGGATGGTAAGGGCCAGTGAGTAGTCATCGGGAAGCGCGAGTAGATCTTGCCTTTCTTCAGTGGTAACACCATGTCTTGCTTTACCGGTACCTTCATAGGCACCCATGAATTCCTCAAACGTGAGGTCAGACACATCTTGGACTTGGTTTACTTCCACTTCTTCATCTACGTCGTGGTCACCCTCGAAAGACGCCAGCCGGTTATGGTGTACTATCATCGGCTTTCCTCTCGGAATCTTGCTTATTCGGTAAATAACATCATTGATCTTCTCCATAATGAGGTATGGACCTTCCCAAAACTGCTGCAATTTGGGAGAACAACCTTTTCGCTTTTTGGGGTTATAAAGCCAGACTTTATCGTTCTTCTTAAAACACCCCTTTTCGGCTTGCGTATCGTACCGTTTCTTCATTCGGTCACTAGCGATCTGGAGATGGGAACGGACCAACTCGTGTACATCGTCCATTCTTCTTCGTAATTCGATCACATAATCTTCACCTGCTACATCTTCTCCAGGTCGACACTCAAACTCTAGATCACAAGGTAGTCGCATCTCGCGTCCGAATAGGACTTTGGCTGGTGTCTGGCCTGTTGATTCATTAACAGCAGATCTGTAGGCCATTGTGAAGAACGGGAGATATTGGTCCCAGTCTCGCTGATGATCGGACACCATCTTTGTCAAATACTTGCCAACTGTTCTATTCATTCGTTCTACCATACCATCCGATTGCGGATGATAAGCCGTAGTCCTTGTTTTCTTCATACCTAGTCTATCACATATTCCTTGGAATAAATCGCTTTCGAAGTTCCTGCCTTGGTCACTATGGATCTCCAAAGGCACTCCAAATCGGCTGATATATTCTTGGATCAACTTATCTGCAACGGTGGCCGCCTTCTGGTCTGGAAGTGCGTAAATCTCGACCCACTTAGTGAAGTAATCCATTACTACCAACATGTACTTGCCTCCATTATCACTTTCTGGAAACGGCCCAGCAATGTCCAAAGCTATTCTTTCAAACGGGCTTCCAACATTATATTGTCTCATGGGAGCTCTCCTTTTTCGATAAGGCCCGTTACTCGTAGCACAAATAGTACATTTCTTACACCAGTCTTTTACATCGTCGGAACTGTTCATCCAATAAAACCGTTCCCGAATTCGCTGAAGGGTCTTCTTCACACCAAAATGCCCTCCTGATGGACTGTCGTGTAACTGACTAAGTACTTCGGCTATTCTGCTCTTTGGAATCACCAACTGTCTTCTCTTCTCTGAACCGTCATCATTTTCCAGGACTCGTTTGAGCAAGCCATCTTCCATGATAAATGAGTCCCACTGGGCCCAATACGTCTTAACTACTGAGCCTAGGTTCGATATTTCTTGCCAAGGTGGTCGACGGTTTTCCTCTTTCCATTTTCGGATTTTCTGTATAACTGGATCTCTCTCTTGTTCTTCCCTGATCTTGGTAGGCGTCCAGTCGTCGTGGACCACCGTCGTTCTTAGCACTGCTGCTTCCTTGGATTCCGTTTTGTTGCAGTGAGAACACTCTGCTGGGCATGGCCTTCTGGAAAGAGAATCAGCGTTTCGGTGGCTAACTCCGGCCCGGTGCTCAATCTTAAAATCATATTCTTGGAGTCGTTCGATCCACCTGGCTATCTGACCCTCTGGATTCTTAAACTGCATCAACCACTTAAGGGCGGCATGGTCGGTTCGGATTAAAAACTTCCTTCCATAGAGGTATTGATAGAAGTGCTCTACTGATTTCACTACTGCCAGAAGTTCTCTTCTCGTGACGCAATAATTTCGCTCAGGTTTTGAGAGAACTTTACTAAAATATCCAAGGACTCTTTCCTGTCCTCCTTGAATCTGAGACAGCACTCCTCCAATTCCCACATTACTTGCATCTGTATCTAAGATGAACTCTCCTTCTGGCAGTGGATACCCTAAAATTGGTGCTGTGATTAAATGCTTTTTTAAGGTTTCAAAGGCATTCTGGCAGTCTACATCCCAGCGGTATTCTCTTGCTTCCTCTGTAAGTCGCGTTAATGGTTTAGCGATATCTGCAAACTTCTTAATAAACCTCCGGTAGTAAGTACACAGTCCCAGAAAACTTCTCACTTGGTGTTTGTCAGTTGGTTTTGGCCATTCCTTAATAGAATCGATTTTTCCCTTATCCACGGCCACTCCTTCTTTACTGACTATATGACCCAGATAATTGACTTTACCTTGAAATAGCTGGCACTTCTTGGGGTTTAACATCAACTGGGCAGCTTTAAGCCGATTAAAAACGTTTTCTAAATTCTTCAGATGGTCTTCAAATGTCTCCCCCAAGACAATTATGTCGTCTAGATAAACTAGGCATGTTTTCCAAGATAACCCTCTCAGCACATTTTCCATAAGCCTCTCAAATGTCGCAGGAGCGTTACAAAGTCCAAATGGCATAACGTTGAATTGCCATAATCCAGATCCTGTGGTGAAGGCTGTCTTTTCTTTATCTACCGGGTCCATTTCTACCTGCCAGTATCCAGACTTCAAGTCCAAAGTAGAAAATAATTTGCTTCCAGCCAATGTGTCTAATGTGTCATCGATCCGAGGAAGAGGATAACTATCTTTCTTGGTAACGTTGTTCAGCAAACGGTAATCCACACAGAACCTCGTTGTTCCGTCTTTCTTCTTAACCAGGACCACCGGAGAGACCCATGGGCTCGTAGAAGGTTCTATCACCCCGTCTTTCTTCATTTCCTGAACAATCGTTTCAGCTTCCTCTCTTTTCGCCTGTGGTAATCGTCGAGCTGTTTGACGAATTGGCTTAGCATTACCAGTATCAATTTTATGCTTAACAACGGTAGTTCTTCCCGTCTTTCCTCCTTTTGGTACGAAAATATCACGATACTGCCGAAGAAATTCCCTTAATTTCCTTTTCTCAATCTGATTCAGAGACTGTCCAGCAACCGCAACCATTTGATCAAATTTATCGTTGGAATTATCAGACGTTGTCGTCTGACGGATTATGGATGTGACAGGTACACAAGTTCCTACTTTTGTCTCTTTCTTGATGGTTACTGGGTAGTCATTGACATTAATAAGTCTTACAGGAATTTCTTTAGCCGAAGTCACTAATTCCTTTCCAATTATGATTCCACGGCCAACTTCGTCGTCATGATTCCGAGGCTCCATCATAACAGGTGTTCCTTCATCCACAATTCCCTGTAACCGCGCTACTATTATCGTTTCACTTCTCGCAGGCACGACTGTATCTTCTTTAACGGCTGCTTGCATAGTGTTGTCATCATGTGGATGGAGAAATACCTCCTCGTTACCAACTTTGATGACCTTATTCTTAAAATCCAATTGGAATCCATAAGTATTCATTACGTCCATTCCTAATATAACATCCTCTTCGATGTCAGCAACTATAACAGTATGGACGAACTTTTCTGCTCCAATTCCTAATTGTACCTGGATTTCTCCATGAATGTTGGCATTTTCCCCTGTGGCGGTCCGAAGTCGCAACCTCGTTGGTAACAGTTTCTTTCGGCTGTTTATAACTGTCGGGCGTATAATGGTTCTGGTCGCTCCAGTATCCACCAACAACGTATGCTTTTTACCATTTATTTCTCCATCTACATATACACTATCTTCACGACATTTCAAAGAAGCTATTAGTATCAGAGGGTCTTTGGTAAAGTTCTGGGTCGAAGCTGCTCCCCTAAGGCCGACGCGTTCTGGTTTTGTCTTCGGTCTTATGGTCTTCGTTTTCTTGTGTGTCATGCTTTTTATCATATTAAAGAGCTGGTCAAGTTTATCTTCATCTCCTTCCTCTTTTACAGTCCTAACTTTGCTATACCCGCCAGAGGCCTGCGTAGCTGACTCGTATTCGAGGGCGGCAGATAAGACATCCATCAGCGTCTTGTGACGAGCTAATCGTAGTGTTCTCTGCATCTCATGATCACGAAGACCATCAATAAACGTTTGAACGGCCAATTTTTCCATCATGTCTTCGGGAGCTGTTGGATAAGCATATCGCACTAATCTGGCGATATCTACTTCATATTCTTGAAGAGCCTCATCTTTCTTTTGTCTTCGATTTTTGAGCTGCGACTGATATACATGCTCTAAGTGTTCGTGGCCATATCGCATATTTAACCTCTTCTTCAGTTGTTCGAAATCATCCGTCTCCTCTACGGCTATGGTCTGGAGCACATCTAAGGCATCTCCCCGAAGAGCTATAGTCAGGTTTACAGCCTTTTCTTTTTCCGACCATCCATTCGCTCTTGCAGCTGATTCGAACTGTTTCATGTAATTGTTCCATGACGATTTTCCGTCGAAAGTTGGAACTTTGACATGAACATAACCTCCGCTTCCTTCAAATTTCGGCCGTGTTTCCAACTTACATTTCGTCTCGTCTTCTTTTATCTCTACCGGATCTAAAACTACCGTATTAATTGGTGGTAGCCCTCTCGTGTTAGTTATCATGGTCTCTAACTGTTTGATTTTCTCTTCAACTTTATCAAATGTTTTAGAGACTTCTTCAAACTTCTCACTATTCTGAATACATACTTCGTCGAATCTTCTAGACATATTTTCAAATTTCTCGTCGTTTTGTCTAGCTGTTTCTTTGATAATTTGAGAAGTTTCTTCGATCATTTGAGACGTTTCATCGAATCTTTTGGAAACAGTCTCGAATTTTCCATCAATTATTTTAGTTAAAACGGCTTCTTCTGCTGACTGGAACTGGAATGTCTCTGGGTCGTCTCCATTCTTGTTGAGAACGGTCTTCAGTCGTTCTTGGAGGATCTTCTTGGACCCGCTGCAGTCTTCATCGCGTTCTTCTAGTTGCTCACGCAACTGTTTCACTGAAAGTTCTACTAGCAGCATCTTTGGTCAGGCACACACGTACTTTTTAAATGTTCTTTCGTACAACGATCACTACTGAACTACGCGGGTGTTCCCGACGAACAATACCCTTCAAAAGTTCAAAAGTCTTTTTCAAAAATCAAATTAAATTTATCTACGATCCCACTTCTGACACCACTGTGACGTCTTTTTATTGCTCTAATTTATTTGTCTTTATTCTAATTTATTGTCTATATTCTAATTTATTAAAACTCACGATAACTAATTACGAATTTATTAAAGTCTTTATTAATTCTAATTTATATTACAAATGTATTTATTTCACGTTTCGTTACATTTAAATATCGCGTTTACCGATCTTCTTATGACTGCCTGCCAAATAAAAATCTTTCATTTATATACACAACTGTGTCATCTAGAGAATTCGGCGGACTTCTTGAATAGTTTCGTATTTTGGTGAAGGCGCTCGACTCGTTTTTCAACCTCGAGACGTGGATGACTCACTAAAATTAGTGTCTAGAGATTTCTGGTAAACAACTGGTAGCTAAGCTCAGGTATATTTTGACCTACAAATTACGAGAATCAATAAAAAAGAATTAGTCATAAAATATTTACAGTTCTATATGCCATAACATTTAAAATCGTAACAGTACATTAAAAAATACAACAATGTTTACACAATATACAATTAATTATATTTAAAAAAGATAAATAAAAATGATGATATATTATTGTTTTAATTACTTGTATTTAAATATAAACATATGCTCTTATCTTAGTTTTAAATTTTTTTTATTTTGTTTATACCTTTTAATCATGAAGGTATATTATTGTACATCATAATTTAAATAGTTTTCTCCATAATTTTACTGAAATAAAGTCATTGTTTAGTGAACTGATTGTGTTGATTCCTATATTTCTTAAATACAAGATTTGTTTGTTTTATAATAGATAATAAGAAAATTTGGTAATTACTTACATTAGTAAGGATAGTCGGATTAGTCTGAAATTTGGACAGTGGATTATGTTTTATTTTTTATTCACTTTTCAATCTATACATTTTTTTACGCTGAGCTATAGTTTTTCTGTAATTCGCATTTAAAAAACTGATATTTTGACATATATTTCAAGATGCCGCCGCCATTACAGCTGCTGTCAATGATGTGCGTATGCGTACACGGTTCCTAGACTTACTCCGGTTGCCTCTTCCGCCTAACCAATGAACATTAAGCTGAACTATACTCCTGTGACGTAATTTGAATCTTAAAAATCAGCCCTGTGATTGGATCATGATATAAGGAAATGTTTCCTTATATCATGATTTGATGGATGTATCAAAACAAAAATGTTTTATAAATAAAATAAATGTTAAATAACGTGCACGTTAACCTGCATTTACGTTATATTCTAAAAATTGATGTGATGTATCACAGATAACGTTTGTAAAAAAAACGTTATGTGGTAACGTTTTACGTTATCCTGCTAACATAATATATTATATTCTCTGATAACAGGTTCAATTTAAAGAGATGATTTAATCTCATACTATTTGTAGATGGGAATAACGTGTAGTTAATAAAAATATAAAATGAACAATTTAGTCCAGAATTTTGGCCGGATTCTAAACGATGAGTTATTAGAAGAATTAGATGATGCTATTAGAAGGTTTGTTAAAGATATTTTTAATTATAGTATATTATTTATTTAGGTTATGTTTTGTAAACAAAATTATTTTATTGATAGGGATGAAGAAAACATTCAGAGAAGACTTTTGCGAGATTTGGTAAATCCAGTGGAATTAGTGGAAGCCGTATTTCAAAAGATATTTAAGTTATCGAGGGAATTGTCTTTGCATTTGGTTCGAAAGTCTCCAGCCCCATCTAATACAAGTGCAAAGATCAAATGCTTTAGCACATGAAACCAAGATATGTTGTTTATATTAAGAATTGAGTGAATATATTCCAATATGTTATATTTTATTTACTTTTTATTTTATTATATACTATATTTTATTTTTTTTACCATGGAAAGGTCCACTTTTAGTAAAGTATTGACAGAAGTAACTGATGCGATGGTAGAACATCTGTTGCCAAGATATGTTAAATTTCTTGTCACCCCTGCAGAATGCCAAGCAGTAACAGAAAGGTAAAACATATGTAATTAATGTTGTTCTGAAGCTATTTTCTTGTGGCATTTTAAATTAATTACTATTTAACTGGGAATAAGCCCCAATTAAAGGTTAAAATATGTTTATTAACATTTCAATTTCCACTTCAGAAATTGTTCTCAAAATACAAACACTAAAAACAAATTTTGTTTTTTTGTTACTTAGTGAAAAATTCTTCTAATAATTTAATTTTATCTGACTCATTTATATTGACAATTCAGACATACATTATGCATTTTAAAGTAGACGACTTTAAAATGATATTGCCAATATTGTTGAGTTGCGCTCTTGGAACGACTTTACTTATAAGATAGTTCATTCGATTACATGAAATCAACATTAACTTGAGAATATCTGTCAGAAAAAAATCATAGCATGTAATTCATCTTTAAAAAGACAAACATATGCCATGATGACAGTAAAATTCTCCTGTTAGTGATTCCATAGTAAATTATGAGGGAAAAACCAGGAAAAAACCTCATAATGCTATCTCGACATGGTAAGTATTTGGTCGTGCATTTAGTTTGCCTTTAAGTCCCACATCACAAAAAGAATAATAAGTGTGAAGAAGATTCAGAGAAGGAAAAAATAAAATTAAGTATTCTTAAAATTAGAAAAGAAAAGGAAGGGTTAAGTAGAGATGTTTTAAAATTAGAAAAACAGAAACGGAAACAGAGAAAAGAGAAACAGACACAAAAGAGTTGGCAGTTAAAGAAAAGATTCTACAACTGAAACATCAATATGGGGTTGAGTTCGAGAATTTAGAAATTTAATACCGTTTGGTTAATTTTATATTATTGTAAATTAGTTATTAAAATAAAAATTGGTTATCTTATTATTGTAGAAGTATCATATAAATGACATCATATACTGGTACCCAAGCAATATTTAAGAGGAAATAATAATTTACAAACCTTGCTGTGTCCTCTGGAAAAGTTAAGGAATGCTTATTTCATCTAATATTTTTACAACACAAATTCCGTTTTGCCGTCTTAAAATCAAACACTTTACTCAAGAATAATAATAAACACAAAAAACTGAACAATGAAACTGAAATATATGTACATACTTTGTTTTTCAAATACCGTAAAATGAAAGGATTATGTATCTACTTGCTGATATGATCTTATTTTCATGACTTCCTTGAAATGACAATATATCGCTTGAGAATACTATAAATAAATGAAATACTAATAGATCCCGTAACATTTTGCCTATTTTTCACAAAGTTATCTGTTAAAAGTGGGTATAAACACTTTCTTATAAGTATGTATTTATTGTAGAAAAATTCTGTAATAAAAATACATGTTCATTATAGTATCATAAATATCATATTCATTAAGTTACTGGTGTTATATTTAGTTTGTTTCATAGATTTATTACCAGAGTTTAATAAGAAAAAGTTGACACAATTAAGTTAATTTTATTTCTGTGACTATTTGAATTGTCAACACTTTCTTTGTTAAATTAAAAATACATATACAATAATTAAAACACTCATAATTCTTATATTATGTTTTATTGAACCGTAAATAATTTTAAAATAAACATTTTATTTAATTAATAAATGCAGGACGAATGACAGCATTTCTTACAGCAAAATTATCTTGATTTCTAGTGACCTTGTTTAAATTTTTATCTTCTGACTCGGCGTGATTACTGCCATCTTCACTATCAGTCAGCACATCATTCCTCCTTCTACATATATTATGCAATACACAAATTGCCACTATAATTGGAATAGCTCTATTTACACTGACTAGACACTCTTTACATTTTGGAATGAGGTGATATAGTCTTTCAACTGTATGTGCTTCATTGTCACTTTATATTCACAAACATAACACACTGTTCTCTCTTCAACAAGTCTTCATGTGTTGTAGAGGTGTGTCCTAATCTGAGACTTCTTATTGGGATTTGATGTTGTCGCTTTGAAGGCCTGAAGTATCATGGAAGGACGGAAGATTTTATTTCTATCAATTTAGTGGTGCTTCTATTCCATTGGTCCCGTAGACAAACAAGGAAACCTTCTCTTTAAGACACCAAACATTCTTTCAATTGTATTCTGTGTGCGGATATGTGTATAATTGTATTTCCTTTCAGCTGGCGTTTGTGGATCATGTAAGGGAGTTAAAATATATTTTCGGCATGGATAACCACTATCACCCAGTAAATATGTTTCACAAAACTCATTGTTTTCAAACTGAGCTCTTATCAGAGAATTATCAAATACATGACTATTGTGGGAGTAACCAGGCCATCTATCAACTACATTGATTACATTTAAATTTGCATCACAATCCATCTGTATATTTATTGAAAAATACCGGTCACTATCAACACTAGATACAGTCGGAGAATTAACATCTGACACTGATGATACTGAAGACATTTCAAAATATTATTAAATCTAAATATTTTCACACCAGCCGAAAAGACATTGAAACTGTCATATTTACTTGTTAAATAAAATTTACTTGGTAGAAAACTAAGGAATAGTTTAGTTTGCAGATTTACTTCCAGAATTAATTTACTATGTGTTTATAATAAGCAAATCTGTAGAGTAAATTATTTTACTTTCAAACTAAATTTAACTTGGCAAGTAAAATGTTTTATAATACCGCAATACCGGTCATAAAAGTGGTATAAACAAACCAGACAGCTGTTGATTTGAATAGAATTATTAATTATTTTTAGTAAATTTCAGCATTATGACTACATTAAAGTATTTTAAATCCAATCGATATTGTTTTGGTCCTCAATGCAATTCAAGATTTATAAAAGATATGTCCCTATTTCTCTTTCCTAAACTGAAAAACTTGAAGAAAAAATAATTTATTATGCAATTTTTTAAAGACAAATCATGTGCTATATTTTCTGACAGGTGATCTCAAGTTAAGGTTGATTTCATGTAATCAAATTACAAACTATTTTACAATAAAGCCAAGTCAAGTTAAAGTTATTTATTTATGTTAATATACAATAAAGTACTTACATATGTCAAAAAATAGTATAAAATAAAAATTAACATATTAAAAACATAAGGTATAATAATGCATATATACGTTAAGGCAAACACTACACAGAATATTATATTCTGGGTTCCCAGGTATACACAAAATAGGATTCATCATCGTCAATACACAAGCCAGTTCCAAACATTAAAGTTAAAATTTAGGAATTCATCACTTGAAAACTGCTTCCCCTTCAACCAATGGACTCTTTGCTTCATCACAATACTCAAAGATATCATTAAGGTTAATTTCCATTATTAAATGATACAAATAACTCGTCTTAAACCAAACTAAACATGGAAAAGCAATGGTAAATATTCGAATGTTATGTTTGTTTTTGTTTATACCATTTATATCGGCCATGACACTGCAATCGACCTGCCCTCTACATTCAGTTTCAATCGCGAATAAATGGGTTTTGTATTCTTGTGTACTCCTGTGACGTAAGTCAAGCATCCCCACCCCAGTCGGAAGAGGCAACCGGAGTAAGTCTACGAACCGTGGTATGCGTAGTACATACTTCTTGATCCAATGTTGCCACACTTTTCAAATATATTGTTTATTGTGAAAATATTAATTCTCAAATACAATCATAAAGGAATAATTGTTGCAGTTTCGCAACGATACATGAACATTT